TTATCATTTCTGTTTGCATAAAGTATTAAAAGTTTAGATCACTGAAAAAAGTATCTTTGGAAATAGGTCTTTAATTATCATAGTACAATAAATAGATTATTTAGGACTTAGGTCATGATAACATAGCAAACCATAGATATTAGCAAGAGGGTGAGGAATTTATTTCCATAGTTGTCAGGAACATAATTACCTTGAACCTTATTTTGACTAATTGCGTAGTCAAGTAAGTGTATGTTAAAATCTATAAATTATGATTTAATTAGACAGTTTTACACGCATTGTATAAACAGTTCATGCATTTGAGGAAGAGTTGGAGAAGACCCCCAGCCCATACTCACTGTAAAATTCTATAATCCTGTTTGTAAGATAAAGAAAAGCCAACTAACAATTTTTATTGGACTAATTTGCTGGTGGAAAAATTGATTTATTGGCTTCTATTAAAGTAGAAACTGAAATTCTGATCAGATGAATGTTATGTATTATATGTTTAAACTATTTTAAAAGTTGAGCTATTAAGAAAGAATTGTAGTGCAACTGGTTTCTTGTATAGTTGCTATTCAGTAGGAGAATGATTTCTGAAATGAAAAATTTGTATCTGTATGTATAGTTCAATTCAGTAATATATATGCATCATGTTTTTGATCTAATGAAGTAATATATGAGAAGCAACCTAAGAAAGACCTTGCATGAATATAGTAGTGGTTATGGTTTCTGGTCTGAGTGAACTATCTTTTGGAATCAATTTATAATGAATAATTATGTGCATAAATACTACTGTATTGAGACTTTTTTGTATCTCTTAAGATGTCGTCGATTACCTGAAGAAATCATGTGTTTTCTACTTAAGTCTAGTCTTACCAACACTGATAATATTGCTAAGTCTCAGTATACTACTATAATTGACAAAGAATAATGCAATTTAACCTATTTAATGTTTTAATCTGAGTGAATAATTTTAGGAAATTACAAAATAAATTTTGCTACTTGAAAAAATAATCTATGCATCTGCCTGCTTAATATCCAATAGTTTCTCTTAAGTAGATGGCTAATATTTCCCCCCTATTTATGAAAAAGTTTTTCTTTTGTATGTAATACCAAATCACAGAAAAATGCTCCTAACTTCAAAGATGGAAGGTAATGTTGCCCCAACTAGAATGCCACTTAGGTATTGATAAGAGTGTTGGTGAATTGAAAGCACTGGGGCAAGCCAATTCTAAATCATTGCCTCTCAAAAACACCTGTATTTATAACACATCCTTCACAAAACAGAGAATCAGATATAGTGACATAAATTTAACTTCTCTGCTGCCTTTCATCCTAAGGCAGTAAACTAGTAAGTGGCAGAGCCAGAATTCAAATTGAGACCATCCTCTCCATTCCCCTTTGCTAAACTATGTAGTGGACTGGGCTCACACAGGTCCTTTTGTCTCCATAATTTGTTTTTTACTACAATAATGCGCTGCAAGCATAAATTGTAATGTTCCCATTTTGTAGATAAGGAAATGTACCCATATTATAGATAAGGAAAAGATACAGATAAGGAGTGTGTGCAGTTCAGGTACTTGCCTAGGGTCGTACAGTAATGGGTGGCAAAGCTGGGATTTGAACCTAGATCTCTTTTCCTAATTACCTAATACTAACCCCAGATGGAAGAAATCAGACCTCCTTACCTTCCTCATCAAAACAAAGAAACTAAACCCACTCATAGTTGTAAAGGAAAGCCCTTTCTACCATCTTTATTCATCCATTAATTTTGAAGGCGTACTCTAGACGAGTTGCTGTGCTAGGCACCGTGGAGTACTGAACAGTTTTGAATACCTATGATAGTACTATGTGGTCTGTAGAATTTTGTTACTTGATAGCAGTCTCATGGTTCCTAAAAAGTAGAACAGACACTGTCTCCTATAAACTTATATTTCCCTTAACTAAACAAGGGCAAATTGAAATTGTCCTTGGTTCTGCTTCAGTTCACTAGTTCAGAATCTTCTTTTGGGAATTGCTGGGAGAGGGCAAGTTCCCTATCATAGCTACTATTTTTAGTTTCATAAGGACTCGTGTCTATAAATGGTATTCTCTTTGTTGAGGCTAATGTCTTAAATGCAGTCCAAAATCAATTAGCTATTATGTGTAACCAGGCTACCGGATAGAAAGGTGACTGTTCTCTTTTGCATATGCTTACCAGTATTTGGCATCTAGACCACAAGGCAAGGAGTAGAGTTACTGGTACTGTTCTGTGAGTTGCTTAAGCCAACAATTTTCATGTGTTTCCCTTTTCTCTTCCCAAAAAGGATTATTTAAATTTTTCAACACTTAAGCATAGAGGATATGCGTAAAATAGATTCTCTTGTAATTTTCTCCCAAAGAGACTTCTCCAGGAAAGAGAGAATACAGATACTCCAGTGGCTGTCATCTCTAACTACTAGGCCAGCAACTATAGACTACTCTGCAGGAACTTCAAGCCCACCAAGATGTTTCCTTGCAAAGGCCTGTACGATTCTTAATTATCAAATGCAGAATTTCAAAAATCCTGCAAACGCTATGTAGCCAAGTGTGATTACAACAATATTTGTCTTGTTAAAGACCCTGAAGTTAAATTACTGCTGCACTATTTTCTTTCAAGGCCAACTTGTGATGGTGGAAGTGAGCCATTGACTGGGGTCTTTTCATTCATCTAGACTTGCTTTATTATTTTAAATGATCTCATGAGTTAAGGGGCAGCAATTTGCATTCTTTGTTCAATGGATTCTACCTGATAATGTGACTATAATTTCCCTTGTGAAGGGAACAGAGAGACTGAGAATGAGTAAATTGTCTCTTGAAAACTCATGGCTTTATCCACTTCTGTCACAGAAGTGCCATAGATTTCAGTTCTCTTGCCTAAGGAATATTTAGTAACAGGAAGACCGACATTCTCATGGGTTGAAGGAGGAGGAATATTTTCCTCCCACTCTTTCTCTCTTACTCTTTCTTGCTCTTGGCTGTACTTTATGTAAAACCTTAATTTCCCCCGTAGCTTTTATGGGGATTCCTCTGAAAGACATAAAATGCCTCTCTCCATAGGAAGCCTGCTCATAGGAGGCAGTTCTTTCCATCTGTATATTTTACTTGCCTTGCATGTGGTTTTTTCATCCAAATGTAAAGCTCACCATGCTTTAATGCACCTTACTAGAGTCTCCCTGCAAGTCTGTGTTATCAGGCTCACACATGGGTCTGATGTTTTAAGGGACAGGCTGACAATCCATGGCCAAAGGAGGACATTAAGGAAACAGGTTTGATTGAAGTTCTGACACAGTTGTTGACAACATAATTAAAATGATTAATTTGGAGAAGAGAAGTGTTTTAAACTAATTAGAAATGTGTTCGGTCATGTACCCAGACTGTACATGTGCCTAGCAGAATCCAACTTTTTGATATAGAGAAGGGAAAAGTAAAGATATATGTTAAAACTGTGTCATTCTTTTATTGAGAGGATAGTGCAGAGTTAAAAACTATGAGCTTTTTTTTTTTTTTTTTTTTTTTTTTTTTTTTTTTTTGGGGTTTTTTTTTTTATTTTTGTGTTT